AATACACGCACATACTCATTTATGTAAGTACACAGATTCTAACACATTATACACACACATACACAAAACGAATAGAGGTTTGTTGTGTACATGCTCCAAAAGATTCTGTTTCTTTTTGCAATTTTTATACTATAAAAATCTGCAGAAACTTTACAACTAAATACTAACAAATTAACTAATCTATATGTGTGTGAATCACTGGACATAGAACAGTGAATCGCTGGCCATAGAACAGGTGTATATTTCAATCATTCTCTAAACTTACTGTGAGTGAGAGCTGTCTTTAGTTCTTTGTTACCACAAATTTTATTCCTCAAAAAAACTTCATTGTGTTTTGTTTTTTATTTATTTGTTTGTATGGGGACAATCGAGAAGACGGGTCACCTGATGGTAAGTGAGCACCGCCGACGATGGACACCTGGAACTAACAATCACAAGTGCGTCGCCACTCACTTGAGTCCTCCCCACAGAATTAGGAGGTGGAAGAGTTTGAAACTCCGGTAACTCCATTTACTTGGTAAAATTTGTGTGTGAGGTCTGTGAGGCAATTTCACCCTAATAGCAGTGCCGCTGAAGTTCATAATGCTGGACAGCTTAAATGGTCTTGGTATAAATTTGGACCAAACCAAGATCCAGACCGATAGGTGTCAAAATTGTTTGCTTTGAGCATATTTTGCAGCAAAGATCCAATTAAGTTGGACACCATTGGACCAACAACGTTAAGGTTTGTCATAATCATCCGTTAAAGCGAAGGTTTTGGACCTGTGTGACACTTACTCTGCCATGACATGGATGGACAATTCAAACAGGACAATCTAAGCCCTATGTTCGTGCAACAGGTTATCAGTAACTAGTACCTATGCAAGTCACGATTGAAACTTCTCTGTTAACAAATAATAAACTTAACTTCCTTTAGTTAAATTTGCATCCGAAGCTTTTTAAACCATGTTGCTTTAGTCACGATAAATGGAACAAAATTTAACATCGATCTAAATACGTAATGCAAACCTGTTCTACGATTAATACAATTACAATGTTACCATAACTATTAAATATTACACATCACAAAGACAATAGCTTGAGTCATCATACTATTAAGACCCTCTACCTCCTACACAGTAAAATGCGGAGCTGGTATTCGACGTAGTCTTTTTGCAGTAGTATATCCCAGTTATCTTGACAATGATCTTAAGAACATAATTCAGACAGAAAGAAAAAGGATATCAGTATTTTTTTGTCTCTGTCTCAACAGCCTTTAATAGTCCACTGCTGGACATAGGCCTCTCTTTAAAAAAGGGATTTTGGCCTACTATACCACGCTGGCCAGACGGGTGGGTATAGGGTATAAGTTTTCCTTCTCTTTGCAGTGCTGTTGTCCTGTGTAGTTACTTCCCTTAGTCGGCTCTTACGACACCCACGGGATGAATAGGGGTGGTGACCTTCCGTATTCTTGATCCGTCACCACACGGAAAAGTAAGAAGTATTATAATCAACCAATAAACGCCATGAAGTCCGTACGTCAGCTCTCCTCATCCAGTTTTGTAGTTGTAGTTTTAAGGAATAGGACAGGTAGATGAAGTCATGGTGAGAAAATCCAGGGACAATAAACAACCCCCAGCACCGCTTTTGCTCCTTTGAAGCAAACCTCAAGAAAAAGATATTCAGCTAAAGCGGAGCTAGTTGAGGTGGAAGAGGTTAGGATTTTATAAGAAAAAAAGGTACGAAGATAAAAGGCAACACCCCCACCTCTCTTATCGGGTCTGTCATTTCGTATAAGAGTATAACCAGGAAAGCAGTATGCGGTAGACAGCAGATGAGGTTTGAAGCAAACTTATGCTCCAAACTGGTGCTGACTCAAGTCACAACACGACTCACCTGCAGATTGACCAGTCTCAGCAGACTGGAAATCTGAATAGTTGTCGGAACTATAACAGGACACCTAGCCCTGAACCGACAACTAGTCATCATCAATGCGACGGACAGCAGACGCAGACGGTGCAGGGGATGATTGGAAGCAGAAGAAACGGCCGGATACGTAATCCTGGAATGCGAGGGAGTGGCCACACAACGGGCAAAATCAAAATCAAAAGCAAAATCGCTCCTAGAAGCTTTTGAACGCCCCAGGAGGCTTCTGCGCTTCTGGAAGGAGCTTGGTTGGCTCACCTAGCTAACCAGTCCTCGACGCATAAAGTTCGAATCAGAGAAAGCCTCAACTAAATCGGAATAGTGGCTTTACATGGCGAATAGCTTGCTGGTTGAAATTCTGTCGAACAAAGTCGCCAAGAGTAGAGGTTAAAGAGCAGACTCTACCAACGCTTGAGACACGAGCAGAATCGTTTGCAGAATGAAAGGAATCTGTGTTCTTAGTCCAAATAATTTAAAAAAAAAGTAACACTAATACCTAGTTTACCTAGACCGATTAATTATAAAATTAGTTTTTAGTAAAGAAATGTCTGCCCAATCATCTTTTGCGAAAAGGCCGATAGCGTTATCTTTTTCGTAAACTTTTCGTAGTAGATATATCTTGTAATTTAGTATTTTACTTTATGTCACGTATTGAAACAAGTTATGAGTATTTGTTGGTAATTGTGTTACTAAATGTAGGTAATGGATAGTTTTGCAATAAGGGTCATAATTACTTAAATTGTTGTTCGGTAATGGAAAAGATTATTCTTTCTTTGTAATTCTTAATTGTCTCTTCGTTAATGTCGTTCAAATGGAATGGTTTTAAATCTTCTAAGCCGTAAAAATGATATTAATTAACATATGAATGTAACAATAATCACAGGAAAACCGATGTTCCTAGTGCATTATAAAAGATTAATACGGTTATTTCAGTTTTTGTACTGCTAATTATGACGGTCCGTGTGGTGACGGATTAACACACGGATTAATACAGAGTGTCACCACCCTATTCATCCCGTGGGTGTCGTAAGAGCCGACTAAGGGAAAAAACTACGCAGAACAACAGCACTGCAGAGAGAAGGAAAACTTGACACAAACCCTATACCAACTCGTCTGGCCAGCGTGGTATAGTAGGCCAAAACCTCCTTTCTAAGAAAAGGCTTATTTCCAGCAGTGGACTATTAAAGGTTATTGATGTGATGTGTGTGATGATGAATTATGACGCGGTAGAACAAAAAAACCAATCCGAGCCTAATTGCTACTTAATTAGTTTTTTTTTACTAACATCTTTTTATCATACCTAATTATTATTTTTGTAATACTGCTTGCAAATACATTGCATAAAGCTTATAATTTTTCTACTTGTTTGCTCCCTCTTTCATGGGAAAAAAAACATTGAATGATGCAGAGCTGTGTGTAATTAAGTAGTCATAAACAAAATATTCAAATTTAACAATAGAATAAAAGTCCATGTCAGTTGTCCACGCTGGTGAATGTAGAGATATCCAATTATTAAGTTATAGACGTTTGCTTTCATTAAAATTTTCCTATTCTGCTACTGCTACGGTTATAACAGTTCTGTAATTGACAAGTGGGTTGTAGTTTGAAATGTGTGGAGCAATACCCCTTTTACACTAAGCGAATTAGGATTTTATACATAAATGTAACGTGATAATTTTCGTTACGCGATGCAGTCTCAAAACTTGCTAAATAGTTCGACTCCTCTTCTCTAGATGGCGCTGAAATGTATTATGTTCTATATGGTAAGACTGCAGTCAGTACTGTCTTCTTCCATTTGTGGTTACAAAGAGCTGCGTACGACAATAATATGTACGAACAAATACTAATGCGTACAATTATAATAATGCACATGAATGTCAATAGATCACGTATATACCTAGTAGGTACACTCAGTTGGTGTTCTGACTGCATACCTAATAGTTGATGTTTGGTTTAGCCGCTGCCTTATATTGTGTGGTGATTATATTGCTGTGATTTAATTGTACAAGGAGGATTAGTGTGAAAGATTCTTATAGGTAAGTTAATATTTTTTCGCGTTGCATTTACGCGTTAAAAACGTATGCACAAATCAGCGTAATATGTAGTCTGATTTTTAATTAGATGTATTAAAATGACATTTGGTGGGTTGCCGCGTTTTCATAATGTAAAAATAGTGTTGTATCCTGAATGAACCCGTTTAGTTAATTTATTAGTTTGTATTTGCATTGATTAGTATCATGAGAAAAATTGTAGTGACATTTTAAAAACATATACTTAATTCATGAGTACGTATTTAATTATCTTTAATTCTAACAAAACTACGCTATCATTTAAATTGGTAAGCCGTTATATATTGTTTATTTTATCCTTTATGGACAAAATAATGTGGCAAAGAAACTAGGCAATTTTTCCAAGACGTTAGCAGAGCTTAAATATTCATCAATCATCATCATCGACAGCCTTTAATAGCCCACTACTGGACATAGGCCTCTGCTTAGAAAGGAGGTTTTGGCCTACTATACCACGCTGGCCAGACGGGTTGGTATAGGGTTTGTGTCAAGTTTTCCTTCTTTTTGCAGTGCTGGTGTCCTGCGTTGTTTTGCGCCCTTAGTCGGCTCATACGACACCCACGGGACGAATTGGGGTAGTGACCAGTGATGCGCAAAATGTATCACTGAGCTGAAAAGATAGATACAAATCATTTCGCTCTAAAGATATATATCACTCATTTAGCTCACTAGCTCATTTAGCTCACTAGCTCAGTGATCCAATTCAATTGATTGGTTTCTCAATTGATTCATTTCTTCGTTTAGATCATATAGCTCAGTATATATCACTTACTTTAAATCTCTCTCGCTCACACGAACCTTTCCTTAATTCTTATATTAGCCTAAGTTAAGTTCTCGGAAGTTTTTTTTCCAGTTTTATTAATTTGTACATTAGACATAATACATATCAAAATTGATTTTCCTTCATACTTGGCAGGCTTAGGACTGTCAACCCAAACAGATTTAATTAAGTTGGAACTAAAATAATTATCGTGAAGTATTTAGATGGAGATAAAATTTGATAGACTAGGTTGGCGTATTTAAAAATCAATTTCTATGTACAATAATTTTTATATTATCAAAAGGTAGGTAGGCAGGTATACCTACTTGATTTACCACTTTCTCGGTATTACTATTTATAAAAAGTAACTGGGATAATTTTTTTGTCGTTAACCTCGTACGGCGCTCGTTCAACGTGTATCCGGCTTTCGAGAAAATCCGCTCACAAGGAACGGAAGTGGCGATTAAATTGAGGCGTTTTAACATAAATTGGTAAAGGAGTGGATATACCAATCGTCGCTCATGCCACCACTTCAGAGGATCTCTTTTTCGTTCTAAAAATATTTCGTTTAAGTATTTGTCTACTTCAACTATCCCCGCCGCAGTTGGATTTTGAGGAGTTAATATGACGATTTCACTGTCGAAGTCGTCCCAAAACTTTTTGGAACTTGAAGTTGTTGGAACAGGATGTTGTGGTGCTAATATAGGTGCTCGTTCGGGGACTAACGGTTGTGACAGTGCCACTTTACTCTTTAGGCAACCTAAAGCTTTTTCAAATTTTTCTTGATCCCTGAATCTTTTATTTTTGAAACGTGGGTCAAGTATAGTTGCCTCACAGTATATAGCGTTATTTTCAATAGTCCCAAAACGTTTATTGAACTGTGAATTCAATGTTTGCAGGACAGTGCTTATTGCTGGTAAAGTTGTGTGATCAGTTTCCCGTAATCTATTTGATATGTTGATATATATAATACGGCACATTGGTAAAACTTTTGATAATGTGACTGATTTTTCAGCACTAATTTCATTGGTCATCTCTGCAAACAATGAAAATATTGGCACAATTTCTTCTACGACTTTCCAGTCATTATCGTTAAGGCACAAATCGCTTCTTAACAAAGCCACTGTCGCAGTTATGGCTGATTTGCATTGCAAAAAGCGCGACAGCATGTCGTAAGTGGAATTCCACCTAGTGGCGACGTCTTGCTTAAGTTTCAGCTGTGGCAGGTTCATAGATGCTTGAAGCTTATTTAGTTCTTGCTGAGCGTGTGAACTACGCTTGAAATATTCCACAATTGTTTTAATTTTTGTTGTTGTCTCCGAGATATGTATTAATGCGTCCTTAACTAATAAATTTATGCTGTGCGCAAAGCAAGCAATTAGACGCCAGTTTCCTTCTCTTATTGCACTGGTTATATTGGCTGCATTATCGCTCGCAATCGCAGTAATTTTGTTGTTTATTTTCCACTGCAATGTCGCATTTTTTATAAAATTGCATAAATTTGTACTGGTGTGGCGTTCCGTGTATTCTATGCAAGTGATTAAAACTGAATCTAATTTAGTTTCTGTTTCACTATTTGGGACAGAATGCTTTCAGACAGAGTTTTTCGGCTTGGTAGACTATAGCCAGGACATAGCATATTTACGAATTTTCTAAATTCTTTCTCTTCTACTAGTCTCAGTGGGTGATACTCCTTAGCTATCATTTTTAATAGCTGCTCATCCAACATTTTTGTTCGATGTGGTGGTAATGGCTTCACACTGGTCAAATAGTCCCTTACAGTGCCTACTCTAAGACTAGCTGAGACATGTGATGTAGCGAAAGTTACAAGTGGCCTATTGGAATAAGAAGTGCCGGGCTCTTGAACTTCTTCGACGGCGGTTGGTTCTGTAACCTGTAACGTTTGCCTTTCCGCGATTATAGGTACGGTTGGATGTTGGCTTTTCAAATGCCTTTTTAAATTCCCTAAATTTCCACTAGGTATTGAAAGTAACTGTCCACAGTAAGAACATTTTGCCTTTTTATCCAATACACTAAAATGATCCCATAATGGGCTACGCTTCTTATTAAAATCACTCATTGTTTTTTACAATATTACTACACTTTAATTAGTAATTACTTATAACATAAAGTTGAAACTATAGTAGTCTATTTACACAGATTTATGATTTAAAAATTAAATATTTGCAATGTGCAGTTCAGTTTGTAACTGTCAGAGCCGTTATATACACTTACTAATACACAATATAGTTCATTTACACTGTTTTATGATTAAAAATAGAATATTTACAACACGCAGTTTACCATAGAACTGAACACATTAAGAAACTTTTAAATATTTTTTTGACGTGACAACGTCTTATAAATTGGTTTGCCGGGTGACACTTCAAGAAACTGCGTTACGCTCACGTTATGCGCTCACAATGAGAGCGAGTGAGAGGCACGCGTCACTTCCACTCGGGCATGGTTAGCCCGCCTAAGAGCGAGAGAGACAGACATAAAAAGTGAAAGGCACGCGTCCCTTTTTTAAATATAATTCTTTGTATAAATAAATGTGTTAAATTGTTACTATTATTTCATCCTTCTTCCTACTATACGAATGAATATTCACATTAAAATTATTTTACCACTCAAAGTCGTTGTCACGTAAAACTTTCGCCCGTATACCGACTTTACAGGCAACCAATTTTTTTTGATATAGCATCGCAATATTCGCAATATTGACTTCTCCTATTAATGGCTACCTTTTTATGTAAGAATAAAGAAAATATAAATTAAGTTTTAAAAATTCATATTTAAGTTAAGCTTTGCGGCTATAGAAATAATGTACATTTTTCTTTGACAACCCAGTGAACGGTCACTCTCATCAGCCGGCCATACAATGCATCTATCTCACTCATTCATTATTCTTTCATTCGCTCATCAATTCATGAACTAGTGATCTAGTGAGCTAGAACTGAGTTACTGATACATTCGGAGCTAGTGTGAGTGAGTGATACATTTTATCGGTGTGAGTGATATATATCTTTTATATCAATCACTCAGGAGCTACACATCTCTAGTAGTGACATTCCGTATTCTTAATCCGTCACTACACGGACAGAGCTTAAATATTACACACACAGAAATTAAAATTGTGATATTGCGACGAATATAACATAAAAAGAGTTATATGGGCACCCAGAGTATTTTTATAGATTACATTACAATATTTTTAATAATAAATACATAATTATACAATTAGTCATAATGACACTAACACATCTAATACATAAGTATTAAAAATACAGTTGAGTGTGTGTTTGTGTAAGTGTGTAGGTGTGAGTATACCTACACACTTACACAAACAGACTTAACTGTTTTTTTATTGTATAGTTGATACAACAAAATGAGTGAAGACACTGTCACTTGGTTGTCTTCTGGTCTGACACAGGTTGTCATCCACAGCAGGCAGCAGGGTCCTAATGTCTTGTAACAATCTTGTACAGAAATGGTCAGTGGCGGCCTTAGCCATTGCGAGGCCCTGGGCAGGTAAAACATTAAGAGACCCCGCGCAAGTAGACCATTGCGAGGCCCTTGTCTTTGTGGAATTAGTATTAATGATGCTTGGAACAAAAAAAAATCAACGCTACACATACTGCTGCTCGAACATAAAAGCATTTAAGCCGGAAGCTGGAATGAATGAAATACGTGATGTGACGTGACGTTAGTTTTATAATGTGAGATTCAAATAAACATACAACAACAAACATTCAAACAAACAAAACAAACACATCTACTTGGGTTGTGGCGCGAGTGCGCGAGGCCCCGGGCGGTTGCCCTGCTCGCCACCCCCAAAGGCCGCCTCTGGAAATGGTTCTTTTTCAGCTTTCACTGGTAGCCTTTAAGTGAAATTCACGGACTCATTTAAAGTTAATGCCGAGGTTCGAAGAAGTTAATTAAGTCTGTGCGTCTATTGTACTGTTTGTTTGTTCGTATGGTTGCAGAAACTTCCTTGCCATTATGCAATATCATTATTATTATTAATAAAAGGCACATATGATAATAGGCACAATAATACGTTCTAATTTGCCAAGAAAGATATTATAAACAAATCTCTTTTTTTATTTTTCCTGTGCGGATATCCCCTCGGACACCACCCACCGGTGGTTGTGTCGGACACAAACCGGCTAGAAACCGCATGCCGTCTCGGGAACCAGGTGTACCCTAGGAAGGAAATCCCTGGTACTCTAGAAGGGGGACTGGCCAAATTTACTAGTAGTTATTCTTAAAAAAAAATAGTATCTACCCATACATGGTTGTTATAGTCTGGCATCATAGTGCAGGTAACCTAACTGTAATTTACATATCATCCTCAACAGCTTTTAATAGTCCACTAGTAGACATAGGCCTCTAAATATAAATAATTTGACAAAAGCTAAATTTAGGCATAGTATTTTATAAATGTCTTTTTTTTCATAATTTATTTTAAAAACACAGGTACATTTATAGGTATTACAAAATATAGATTTGTCTGCTGCATTTTACAACATTATTGGTGTGCAAATATTTATATAGATAATATATAAATAAATATAGATAGAAGTTCTGCCGTTTTACTGTAAATGGCAGAACTCCTATTCCATATTCCCAATATACATGCGTAATTTGCGTAATTGAATTTATTAATATGAAATAGGAATTTTACCATTTTAATGCTAATGGCGGAACTCCTATTCCATATATATATATATATATATTGTACTATTCCATATATTTTACTCACAAAGGCTTATTTACCATATTTATTTGAAAAGCATTTGTACATATTTATGGACGGTGGACCATTTGTGAACCACGATAACATGTTTTTTATACGTTCATTTTTTTAAAGACAACTCATACGTTAGGAATATATCCTGTGTCGAGGGCGACTTTACAAACATACATTATACGGATCCAAAGAACACCCAGACTCAGAACAACAATTTGTGGATCAAGTGTCATCCCATGTGGGGTTTGAACCCACAACACCCGGGGTTGTAGGAAGCGGCGTGGCGACCGCTTAAACCTCTACGCCATCCGTGCAGTCATTGGAACCTAAAAACCATTATTGTTATCCCATTTAAACATATTTGGCGCAGAAAGAATTATAGTCGTATGTGGAAGAAGTATAGTATTAATTATATTAATGATTGACGTTTTAAATACGTAGAAACCTATATTATATAAACGATAATCGACCACCTTAAGTAGGAACCCTCCATCTTAAGTAGGAATAAATTATTTACTTCTAACTAAACCTGGGCGGGAAAAGGAAATTATACCTAATGATAAAATATACACTACAGTTATGAATGAAAGCACATGGCTGCATAATAGGCATTATACATATTACAATATCCTTTCCATATTAAAGTATTTGTGAGGCAGTCAACATCGCGTATCTACGTGAGCTCACTCAGTACCCCACTACTTGTCTGACCTTGCGTTTACTAATTACTTATGCATTTGTGCATTCCACACACGTTTAGAATTTATCTATTTGTTGAAATCCTTGTATGGCCATCTTGTACATCTCTATTGTGGATCTAAGTATGTCTTTGTTTGCATAATAGATTATCATGTTTTGCGTTCTATTTCACATATTATTCATGTGTAAATCAATACATAGGTATTTTATTCGTCAGTCTATTGTTGTTTATTGCTGCATTTATGCCTCTTTCAACGTGCTATTTCATAGCACCCTTCTGAATTCATTCTATCTCAGCTATTTTCCTCAGGTCGTCAATCCATCTGGCTGGGTTCCGTCTTTCGTTTACCGATTCGCGGTCTCCATTCTAAGTCCGGTTTGACCCTATATATAATGGAACTAATTTTGAGTCAAAGAGGTAATCTAAAAGAAAGTTTTCAAAACCTTACACTTAAAGGGGGATAAAAAAAATTTGTATATCACGTAGTTAAAATGTACTTCCAATACCCATACCGTTTTTTTTATGTCAGAGGGGGCAGACGAGCAGACGGGTCACCTGATGGAAAGTAACCATCGCGGCCCATGAACGTTTGCAACTCAGATGTCACAAACGCGTTGCCGGCCTTTTAGGAAGGAGTACGCTCTTTTCTGGAAGGTTTGAACATCGTATCGGTCCGGAAATACTGCAGACGATAGCGCGTTCCACAGATTGGTTGTGCGGTCCAAAAAGAGTCTCGCAAAGCGCACAGTAGTGAAGCGCCCACTATCCAGGTGATGAGGAGATGATGAGATGTACATAAATGTGTACCCATGTGTATATTACAAAAGAATGACATGTATTGCATGTAAAAAATACATGTAAAAAGTGTATGAGTCTGTTATCTCATCAGCAAGTTATAATTCCCAAGAACTTTAAACCAGATAGCACCACGAAGTTGAAGGATTTGCGCCATTTAGTAATTAATATAGTAATTAATATAAACAAATATTTTTATATGAAAATATTAAGTTAAGTCACCGAGTGAGCTCAAATTTTGACACGATAACACGCTTCAAAGATGGTTTTTTATTTATTTTTTACAACTACAATGAGCCCCAGCAAAGCGTAGCAGAGTACAATTAATATTTTAGAATAAACTAGCTGACCCGGCAAACGTTGTTTTGCCATATACATAATTTCCAGGAAATATTGAAAAAAAAATTAGGGATGGGTCACCCTTGTCGAGGGTATGAAAAATAGATGTTGACCGATTCTCAGACCTACCCGATGTGCACACAAAATTTCATAAAAATCGGTCCAGCCGTTTCGGAGGAGTATGGTAACTAACATTGTGACACGAGAATTTTATATAAAAGATATAGTCACTAATTAAGTTGTGCTGTCATATTTTATGGTTCATAAGTCGAAAACTGTGTGGGCACTACTCAATAAAGTCAGGTAACTTAATATGCTAATCGGTGCCTATACGTAACGATATTAATCTGAATGTTGATATCTAATTAATTTTAAGACATGTTCACACTCACGCTCGATTTTTTTTAACCCAAATAAAATCATTTTTTTTTTTACCACATACACACAACGCCATCTAGTCCCAAACTAAGCAGAGCTTGTACTATGGGTACTA